TGAAGTACACTGCTGAGGGGAGTGGCGGGCGGGTCAGGAGAGATCTGCCTCACCATGTGGGTCACCTCCTGGCCAGGGATTGAACTTGGGCTGCTGATAGGTCATAGGGTTGCACTTTAATCTGTTGTACCACCAAGGAGGACCCTCAACTTTCTTTCATATTTCTGTGATCCTGAAATTACCTAATTCTTATTAAAGGAATGGCTGCATTATTCATACAACGATAAAATGTTTAGATCTATAGGTAATTGCAAAATATGATTATAACTGTTAACTCCAAACACCAGGCTGCAACCACTACCACGGAATATATGTACAGATTAATCAAAACACACAATCAAAAATTCATGAGTGGAGGAGACTGGAGTGTCCTGACCACCAGCTATAATAGGTGATGAAAATTACAGCATCTTTGCTCCAGCATTTTTGCAAATTTTAGACATGAAATTTTAGGTCACTATGGTGGCTATTTCAATGCTTGGAGAAAATGGCCAAAATTAAGACCATCATATAATATTATCTTTTTAAGAAAATTTTAAAAATTGTTGTCTACTTCCAATGTTTTGATTATTTAACCATGTTTTCATTACATGCTGAGTAAAAGTGCCCTACAATGTAAAAATTAGCACTACTTAGTACTTATGTTCCTAAGTAATGTCATCATCTTCTGTGGAGTAATTACATTGTAGTATGAATATTTAGAAAAATGGACCTCAATAGTGTACTCGCAGTTCATGTCTGAAGTCCTTAACTGTTGTTTTAGTAAGCAGACATTATTTGAAAAGTATATAATGATTATATAATTTCAAAAATACTATGACAATCTACATATTTTAGCTTGAAATTTTGAAGTTAACTTTTTCTTTTTTGTTTTGTCTTTGTTATTGATATTTAACAATATAATATTTGCAAGAATATATTAAAAGATTATCCCGGAGCATTTATTGTACTAACATGAAATGTTAGAAGTGTTCTTTACAGTAGAAAGGTAGACTTGAGTTCTACACTTTAACAATTATAAGCTCTTTGTTCCTGGGGCTGGGAGTGATTGTACTTTCATGTCAATTTATTAAAAACTCACAAATGATTTTATTCAAAGGTTAGTAGTTTTAAAACTTCAGAGTACTGCTGGCCAGTACATGCTATTCAAGATATTAAGAGAATAACAAGATACATGTATCTGTTGAATCAAAGCCATGCATGCAAACAGATGAATCTTAAAGCTTAAGAAAGTGTTCTAGAATGCTGTTGCTTTAAAAAAAAAAAAAAGTATCAAAGTTAGACTATAGTTTTAACTAACATGACAAGGAATGCATTATTAGTCAAAATCAAACATTCTTCTCATGTATATTTTGTTCCTGACTTACAGACTGCCCCCCCCACCCCCAAATTGTAGTTTGTAAGATTTATTGATTTATGCACACAATAGTTGGGTACATGTAGACCAGAGGTGTGAGGATTCACCAGAGACAGAGTGGGGAGCAGTGGGCAAGACAGGAGAGGTTTGCTGTACCATGTGGATTAGCTCCCAGGCTGGGGACTGCAACTCATGCTTCAGAGACTGCAAGTAGCTTCACAGTACTGAGACAACCCTTTGTGTGACCAGGGAGGCCTGTATTAATTTCCTTTTATTGATATCCCTGTATATACTATTCACTTAATAATTGACTGAAAACTTTAAAAAGAAAAACTAAAGAAAATGACATTTAGAAAAAATCTGTAAAATTAATTTTTCAGCACTATACTATATTTTGCTTCTTATAAAAAGATCTCTAGCAACAGGATGCAGTTCTCTTTGCTGGACTGCAATTGTTACCAAGGTCATATCTATGAAGGACACAGCGTATCTATTATTGGACACATATTCCCTTTCCCTATTGAGCCCCTCACTCATAGTTGGGCTGGCACAAGTCAGGTTCAACTTTCTCACTGACCAGTGGTAATACCCATTCTCTACTGCTAACCTTATGTTAAAAGCAGAACTTTCTAAATTCCAGATGATCTTTGTTTAAAATGACTTTACCAATCAAAAACAGAATTGCAAATCTTCTTGGAACAGAGACACTTTCAATCTGTCCTGGCATGATGAAAGTGTCACAAACAAGATTTAAAGGACAGAAATAAACGATAACAGGTAGATGTGAATTAAGTCTTATTTTCCTTCAGGTCCCCAAATTAATGAGGCAACTTTTGAAGTTCAGAAGCTATTAAAAGTGACCATGCATTAGAAAAGGAAATGCCATCCCACAAAAATGAAAGCATACATTTATAATATGCTTGAAAGGTCAACAAGTATCTTACCTACACATTCCTTGATCTCCTTGAAAGAGAGGCTATAGCCAGGCTATAGCTTCATTTACAGAAAAGGAAACAGATGTTTGGAAAGCCAGAAGAAAGGATTTCAAAGTCCCTCAGTTAAGTATTTGTGAGAGAGGATTTGAAACCAGGTCTCCTGCCTCTCTAGTGATGCTTTCATCACACCTCTTAAAGACCAGCCATTTGAAGAATATAAAAAAAAATTTTCTTTAATCCAACAGTTAGTTTATTTGACACTTTGGGGTGAACCTTATAAAGTAAAGGTCAGTAACATAATAAGTAGTTCAATCCCAACATAGCTATTTTGACTTATCAAAATAGGATAACATATACAAATTAAAATTAAAAATAAGCTGAGGAACAGCAGTCAAGAATCTTATTCTACTGTTTCTGAGGCCATGTCAGAGTGCTGGGAAAAGAACCAGTTTTTTTCTATAAGTTCTTAAGCAAGTGTTTATCAGTAAATAGTAACTTAAGTCAGGTTTGTAGCTAATTAAATTCAAACCACCTTTAAGTTTGTATCTATATAAACCATCCTTAAAACACCTGGGGTTAACCCAAACTTCATACCACAGGAGCATTTGTGGGTAAGTATTTTTAAAAAGCAACCTAGAAATAGTTTTCAATCTTGATAATCCTTCAGGGTAAGAAAACACGATTCTAGAATCCAAAGAAACTGTCAGTATTTACAAATACAAAAAACTGGAATTAAAGTTTTCTTTTTTGTTAGGTCCTAAATAAAAAATGGATAATTAATATTTTCTGCCACCGAAGGTACCAGTACTAGTCAACTTTGAGTTGACAAGTCAACTCTTCAAGGTTAAATGAACTCTCAATTCAACATTAAAATTATCAAAAACTTATTTTCTTCATCTGCTTCTGATCCCTATATATCCACCTATGCCATAAGTTTCGCTTCTCTCCACTCCTAATACTTATTTACCTTTGATTAATATTTCTACCCACAATATTAAACACCTTGAACCAAAACAGCTCTGAGGCAGTAAACAATCCAAATGCAGCCTTTATCTTCCCTACAATTCCTTCATAGTCTTTTCCAAATCAACCCCCAGAGATTAAATTATAGCACAAGGAGACACATAGTTAATCCTAAAAATTTAAGAAAATGGTATACTAATATCAACATATTTAGTTCTAAGAAGTACAAACTGATCGTAGCGTCTATTTTTTTTAAGTCCACGATTTTCTCTAATTTGAAAGCTATTCTACCTGAGAGAGAAAGTAAGGGGAAAAGAACCCCAGAGACAAATGCTGCAGAGCAAAAGCGATGCAGTCCCTACACCCCACCTCTGCCCGTGAAACCTGGAATTCTGGACATCAAAAGGACCACTAGATATTAACAGAGCCAAATGTTTACTTAGAAACTTTGTTCACTTGCCTAAGGCTACATTAACTGCCAAATATGGAGCTGGGGAAGAAATTCTCATCTTCTTCCCCTCAAAGCTCAGTGGGATCCCTAATTTAAGTTAATGGTTCACAGACCCAGGTACATGGAATGCTAATATTTGGAAGACTAGCACGAAATATGGAGACTTGAACGTAAAAGCCAGAATTTAACACAAGTTAAAATCACAACGATCATACTGCGGGTAAAGGAGGAACTTCAGTATTATTCCGGCTTGGGTGCTTTTGTTTCTTGTTGCTGTCGATGTTAGAGAAGGGCATCTCCCTCCAAAATAATGTTAAGAAATTAGTTATACCTTGAGGGTAAAAATGATCTATGCGGAAAACTGTAGAGGCAAATCTATATTCGCCCCAACGCGGTACAGGGCCATCTTAAGAAATCTCTGAGAGACGCAGGTAAAATTCTATCAGATTCCACAGGCAAAAATCAACACATTCTAGAGACGCTTAAGTTGCCTCTCACCCCGACCCTCCTTGCTACCTCCTCAGGGTGAAGAAACCCCTTCCCTAAAGCACTCAAACATCTTTTCTATTTTCTGGGTCAACAGGAGATCGTTCTGCATAAAAATGGGCACCAAGAAGACAGGTTACATACAGCCCGGATTTGTGAACATGTTTGGAGATAAACCCGACGGGGTGAAGACCATGGAACACTAACTAGATACTGAGCAAGCAAAGTGGCGGCTGCCTTCAAACCCGGGTTCTGTCGCGGTGCACAGAAATGGTGCCCGGAGGCCGCTACTTTCGCATCTGCGTCGCTTCTGCTTCCACCGACACAGGCTCTTTCCCCTCCCCCACGGGTGGGGCGGCGACGGCCTCCCAGCTCCGGGGGACCAGGAATAAGCCGCAGATGAGTCGGAGACAAGGTTGATGGGCCCGCCACTGTAAAACATCCTCGCCAGAAGGCCCACTCCCCACTTCCCACATTGAACCTCCTTCAGCGCTCCTAGAGCACGGCAGCTTCTCCTTTTCCAGTTCGCTACCTCATCCCCCAAAAGCCTGGCCCCACCTGTGCCCAGGCCCTCCGATCGCAAGACACGCGCCGGTCACCTCCCTCCCCACGCGGCCTCTATCCCACACCTGAGAGGAAAGGCTCGGCTTCTCGCCCGCACACACAGCAGCGTAGACGGCCGGCAAGAACAAAGTCTCTCAGCCGCTACACCTCCGGCACCGTGGCTCACGCACAGGACGGTTGCCTCGCGAAAGGAATGTCCCCTTCCGACCACCACACCAGGCTGCTTCCCGGCCCCCGTACACACCTCCAACCAACAGCGGCGGCGGGTACGTCGCGCGGAGGTCAGCAGGAGGGTCGCCGAGTCCGGCCGCAGCGGATACTTCTCGTTCGCCGCCTCCTCCCTCCAACAAACCTTAAGTCTCGGAAGCTGGAAAGTCGCGAGCTCGTTTTCCTTACAACCACTTCTTCCCGGGCGCCAAGCGCTGCGGCGAGCGACAGGGAACACGGACGTCCCGCCCCCTTTGCCGCCGCCCCCTCTTATTGTTTTACCCCTGCCGAAAGGACTGGGGAACCCCCCAGCACGGCGCCAGCCAATCAGGCATCTCCTTCGCGAGCTGGAGCCAACCTTCTCGCGTCCCTCTGCGGAGCACGCGCAGAACGCTCCGCGCTCTCATACTGGCGCCCGGAAAGCCGAGGAACCGGAACCGGCCTAAAGCCGAGACGAGAGTCCGCTGATTTGACGTCACAAGGAGGCTGCTTTTCTCCTGCCCCAGGCTCGGGCCTCACTGTCCTTCGAGATCGTGCCGGGGCAGGAACCGGTTCGCAATTGGAAACGAGTTTTTTCGGCCCCTTTTGAGAATGTTAACTTATTACTTTCCCTCTCTGAACTAGGTTGCCTGCAGGTTGAAGCATAAAATGCAGCCAGTGGTTTCAATTGTTTGTACCCTAAATGCACCTATATATATTTTTTAACCACCCTAGGAAATGGAGGTTTTAAGCGTGACTGGGAAGTCAAATTTATTGTAACAGCTCGAAGCAATATACATTACAGGGCCTACTAGATGCTAGGTCCTGGGGTATGGAAAAAAATATGACAGACTCCAGAGGGAAAAATAATCTCTGTGTGCCCTGTGTTTGGCACTATTTACACTAGGCATTTTACATACTAAGGATGAATGGCTGAAATCCCAGAAGATACTAGGATTATAGCCCTACGCTAGGTCTAGACCCAGACTTGACCTTGATTCATGTTGAAAAAGCCAAATCTTCTAGAGCCACTTTGCAACTTAGTTCTGCCAATGTTTCTCAGAGACCATCAAGACAGGGGAATTTGAGGAGGTAAAGGTGAGGAAATGGTGAAAGAAGGGCAATTAGGAAAACATACATTTATTGACTGCCCATGTAGCCGACATAATAGGGGTACACAAGTTTCATCAATTTTCACTATCCTGGAACAAGATATTTTTCACAAGTGAAAACAATGCCAACATATGAGCCATCTTAATCTACAATTTTACCTTTGGTTACTTGTGTAAAAATATTTTTAAGTAAAAGATACATAACAGTATAAACATGTAGTAATTCTCATTTTGTTATACACAAAATACATGTGTAAACTAGTGCTTTTATTAAATGAAGTTGGACGTGCTTTTCCTATAAGCATCATCATGCCTAAAATGCCCATTGCCCTTTAAATCTAGTACTTAAGTAATAGGCGTTCCACCTATGTAATTGTTTAAGCCTCAGAATAACCTTAAAGTAGTTATTATTTTCATGCCCATTTTACAGATGAAAAGACTGCATTTAAGAGGTGCAGTCATTTGCCCAAGGTCACACAGCTACTATTTCATGGAACTGGGAGTTAAACAGTCAACCTACTCTCTGTGCTCTTAACCACAGCTATAGAATACCCTCATTGTATTAATGGTCACAATTTATTACTGGTGATTGACATGTCAGTTGTTTCCAGTTTTGGGCTCTTATACAAGCTGCTAAGCTTCACAATGTATTCTGGTACATAAGTATAAAAGCTTCTCTAATTTACACCAGAATCACCTGGAGAGTTGGTTAAAACACAAATTGCTCTGTTTCTGATTCAGCAAGTCTGGTTTAGGCCACTAACCTGATAATTTGCATTTCTAACAAGTTTCCAGAAGCTTTGGCTGCTGCTCTTCAAAATCACATATTACAAACCAGTGGCCTACAGTACAGGTTTGCAAACTTTCAATGTTAAGGACCAAAAGATAAATATTTTAGCATGTGAGGATCACAGGACTCTATTGTTTATCCCCTACCCACATTTTTAATCCTTTAAAAAAAAATGTAAGAGACAAAGTTTTACAGGGGTACAAAAACAGACCTCAGAGTAAACCTGCTCTAGAGTATAACCTAGTAAGTGTAGTTACTGGAGGAAAAAAGATTTAACTATCTTCAAGTTTAGTAAAAGATCCTAAACCATTTTGCTAAGTAGTGATTTTTACTTCCTAAATACATCTCAAATCTCTGCCCTTTGAAAGTCTCTCCATACTCAGTCTCTGTCCGGGCTCAGGTCCTTTTCACCTTACAAGCATAACTGCAGTAGCATAATCTCCCTGCCCTTCAAACAACCTTCATGAAATACCCCCACTAATACACTACACTATTAGGCAAGAAGACCCGTGTGGATTGTGTTCACTCAGTGGTTCCAGCCAAGAACTTTTTTTTTTTTAAGATTTATTTATTTATGCATACAGAACTGGGGTACAGGCCAGAGGTACAGGGGTAGTGAGAGGAGTGGGGAGCAGAACAGGCCCACTGACGAAGTACACTACTAAGGGGAGCAGTGGGAGGGTCAGGAGAGGTCTGCCGCACCATGTGGATCACCTCCTGGGCAGACGGGGATCCAACTCATGCAGAAGTGGCTTTAGCTTCTTAGTGCTGCACTTTAACCCACTGTGCCACCAGGGAGGGCCCCAGCCAAGAACTTTTAAGTCATCCTTGACTTTCTTTCACACCATACTGTTAGTCATCAATGAATTCTATTCCCTCTACCTTCAACATTCACTCCGTATTATATACTTTCACCATTACTACTGCTATCCATTATTACTGCTGCCATATCACCATCACTTAGTGCTATAGCCTTTTACTGGACTTGATGCTCCCATTCTTATTCTGCAGTGGTCTGTTCTCACAGGAACCAGGTCCTTCAAGTGATATTCTCAAAACCTCCAAAAGCAAGACATAAATTTCCAAGTCTTTAAGCTATTATTATTTCCACCTCTTATCACTTTTTCTCTGTCCTTCCTTTGACACTCCCAACATATTCCTATCCCAAGTGGGCCTTGAATGTGAACATTTATCAAAAGTCTACAAGTAAGTAAATTGGATCTACCAGTATCTCGTGAAATATCCCACTCATACACTCTAAAATTTAGTTAGGTATGACTTTCCCTTACACTATCTGGCCTTCTTAGAATTTCAGTTATCTTAATGCTGTTTAAATAAATCACTAGCTGGTTTAACTATAATCTATGGTTATTTTGCATTTTGTAGATTCCTTTTAAAAATACAAGCCAAATGGCAATGTATGGGTTGTCAGGCAAACTATCCAATTAATAATAGCTCATAAGAGACTCAATAAGAGACTCAAAAGAGAGGGCAAGATAAAGAAAAAGAAGACATAGAGAAAGTACAGGAGACAGTGATGATAAAGGATATGGCTAAGTGATACTATACTGGAAATAATGTAGAACTCTATACTTAACATTGACTGAAATTTGAATTTATAATTTAATAGCTTAATGTATCACTATCAAAGTGCAGAGGGAGGACACAGTCTTTTGTGGGTGTCTACTTCGAGAACAGTATATGATTTCTTTATTCTTATTTCTACACTTTATTAATAATAATTGAGGGAGAGGAACTTAAGATTGGATTTTTCTCTTGCTGTAATATAGGTCTCATCCCATAGATTTTAGATACTGTATTCTAAATAACTTGGAAATACAGGTTAGGTTTCTTCTTTGATTCAGTTGTTGTTCAGAGAGAACTGAGTGAGGATGTAAGTAGTCTGGAGTTTTTAACTGAAACTTTCTGTTTTGTTTTAGTCCCTGTAGTCTGTGTGTCCTGTACATTTCTGTGCTTTATGGAATTTGCTGAAATTTTTCTTCATTGCCTAATATCAGTTCAACTTTTTAAGTTGTCTAAAGAAAACAAGTTTATTGAAATCATCTTTTACATCTTTTAATTTATTTTATTTCTAATAGTTTTTTATTACTATGCAACTTTGAAATAATTTCATGTAGCCAGAAAAGTTCCAGAAACAGTAAGTGAATTTCTCTATGCCCTTCCCCTATATTCCTTAGATGTTAACAGTTGCTACATTTGTTTTATCATTCTCATCAATTATCTCTCTCTCTTAACCAATCTCCAGTGGGCTGTTGATTTCCCGAGGACACATTTCAACTGTTTTTGCTTCACCTTGTGTAGTACATTGGAACTCAATGGTGGCTACTGAATAAATGAATCCAGGAGTTTCAAAGACTCCTATAGGTAGTGATTATCACATCAATAAGAATCTAGAAGAGACTCTAGTTTAAGTTTTTTGATATGATATCCATCCCTTTATCCCTAAATGCTTGCAGTGTGTATTTCTTAAAAGGACAAAGACTTTCTCTTATATAACAATAGAAGTTTCAAAATGTAGAGTTAACATTTACACAATACTATAATCCACAGACATGTTAATTTAACTATTGTCCAATTAATATCCTTGATAGCAAAAGAAAAAAAAATTGGGGGGCCAGAATATAATTCAAGATTACAAATTAATTTAGTGTTTATGTCACCTTAGTCTTTTATAGTCCAAAGTCGTTCCTCAGTCTTTTCTTTTTCTCTCATGACCATGATAGTTTCAAAGTCTATGGGACAACTGTTTTGAAGAATACTCTCGAATTTGGTAACCTCTAATATTTCCTTATAATTAGATCTAGGTTATGCATTTTTGGCAAAAACATCAGAGATGTACTGCTCTGCCCTTCTCAATGCATCACCCCAAGAGGCATGTGATGTCCATTTATCCCATTACTGGTAATATAAGCTTTCATCACTTGTTAATAGTTTACCAAGACTCTTCACTGTACAGTTGCCATGTACCCATTATAATTATAAGTATTTTGTGTGGAGTTGTACTTTGGAACTTTGTACATATGCCATTTTTTAATCACACTAGTTTTAACATCCATTGATGAATATTAACACAAATTAATCTTTGTTTCTGTGATTTTTCTAATTTCACCATTTTTTAAAGTTTACTCACTGTAGTTTTATTATATAAGGTGTACCATTCCTTTTTTCTCATTTTAAAATTCATTTATTTGTATCAGTATGAATTTGTGGGATTGGTGGTAGTACAATTGTGATCATAGCTGCCTTCTGGTATGAATTTGTGAATTCCTGTTTTATAATCCACTACTGTGAATATTTATTTTCATGTTTATACTGTCCCCAATTTGGCCAGCAGAAA